CGTGCCCACTGCACTATACTTGTGAGTGAACAAGCACTGTTAGAAAAGGATGTCACACCCTTTATGACTTTTTCTGGAGAAAATGCTGCAAAACATTCTGTACCAGAAATTCTACTTATTCAGGCAAAATCCTTCTTAGAGAACTTTCAGACTTGAATGAAATAAATGCTGTAGGGAAGTTACTTAATTCTAAAATAGGAAACAACAAATCTCTGGAAAAGAGAGTTACCCAAATTGGAAAGTAGTTGACAATGGGATTTTAAGAGTTTAAGAAATTTCAGCTACTGTTTGCTGGAATGTTTATATACTGTGCTATAGTTTAGTGAAGATAGTAGAGGACAGAACTTTTCAAGCTAGTTACTCATATCAGTATATAACTGCATGAATCAGCTACTGATGGTTTCTTTGATCTTATACATGATGGTGGACATCTTTTTAAAAACAAACATTACTTCAGTCAGAGTAATGGAGCTCTGAGTAGTCTGAAATCTGTAAGTGGTTTTGTGACAACTGATTCAGTCCTAGAGGGCTTGAATGCTTTAAGTAGCTGGGCATTGATGGGGTTTGCTTGGTACTAGGATATCTCTGGGGGAAAGGGGAGCAAGGGATTCAGACAGATGTAATCCTTGTACCCTCTTTCAGTAATTGAAAATGTTAAAACCTGTTTTATTAATGAAAAGGGAAAGTGTATCTTTTTGGTTTACTTGCCAAGTTGGAAGTTCTCAGTACAGCTCTTAGTGTTGCATCTGTCAACTTTTTCTTTAAAATATTTGTACTATTGTTTCTAAAATCTTAGTATAAACATCCTATTTGTAAGTGTCTGGGTCTGTTTACTGATAAACTTGTGATTGATTGATCAGATCAAATATAACAAGTACTGACTAATCCTGCAGAGAAATGATGGAAGAGCCCATAACAGGATAAGTTCCTTAAGTTTGGGTCGAGTCCTTGACAGTTTATGTTGCTGGATTTTTTTTTTTCATAGTCATGTTCAGCAGGGGTTGGTATTCATCATTACTTGTCACCGTATTCCCGCTCGCACTGTCAGCTTTCCCTGTGCACATCTCTTATGCGCCAAGTGTCTTAGAGTCTCTTTTCAGTGTTCAGTTAATCTTTAGGGTCTCGGCATCTCCTGATGCTTTGATCAGAACTTACATGTGTAGCAATTTATTTCAGCAGTCACAAATCTTTTGCTCACCAGTCAAGGGCAGAGTAAAAAGACAAAAGAAAAAACCCTCGTAAAACCATGTTTTCAAAGCTGTCTTACCAATGAGTTGTTCAAACCAACTAATGCTCCCCTCCTTCCCCCACTCCCAAAAAAAGAAGCCTGCAAAGAAAACCCAACCAGACACCCCTCACTCTCCACCTTCCTTCTGCCAAAGGGTAGATGTATTTCTCAAAATGGCATTGCAGGACATGAGGCAAAACAAAGATAAAATGTAATGGTCCTGGGATGATTGCTAAAATGATAGGTGTGGGGCTTTCAGGGCCTTGGTTGCTCTATGTTCAATGTCAGGGCTTGAACGGTTTTCTAATTAGCTTTTATATGTTTTCTAACAACAATGAAACAATCCAAGCAGTAGATTTTTGAAAGAAGATCGCTGTTCATGGGTAGTTGAAGTCACTATTAATCAGTAACATGATTTAATACTGATCAGACTGTTTTATTTTTAGAACGTGCTTTGTGTTATGTTACAGTAATTCATTATTTATTTCATGTTGGCTGTCTGGTGTAAGACATGGTCTCTGTAAAGTCCCTGCAGTGTTGGCAGTTTTCAAAGAATAGTAAGAATAATGCATAGTAAGAGCAGATTTATTCTGTGTCAGGAAGCATAAGCTCTTTGAAAAATCTACTCAGTTTCATAGTTGTTCAAGATAACCACAACTTGAAAGTTTATGTTTTTCTGATCAAATAAGTTCTGTAAAATATGTCAAAAAATCTCATTGATATGAGTTGCCTTTCTGATTCTCCTACTGTTCTTGGGCTGTAGAGCAGCAGTGCCACTTTGGTGTCAAAACTTCTTGCGCAGACTTTGTTGCAGTGAAATTTGTGTGATATACAAACACTGAGGGATGTGCTGTAATAGTTGCTGAAGTTCATCGAAGCCACAGAGTGTATCAAAAAGGAAGATCCAGAGTCACAGTAGGTCTGAGGTATTATTTCATAAGTAGCTCCTTTCCTCACCTGACAAATACAAAAATTATTGTTTCAAGCCTTGTCTATTTCTTACTATTGTAAATCTAACAATTTGGGGGAAGATGAAAAGATGAAAACACACACAGTTAGTTGATGTTGAAACTCATCTGAATCTTCCCTGAAAGGCCATTTCTCCAGTGGAATTTTTATAGGGCTTGCAACCTCATGTCAGGTTCTGATCTGAAGGGCGACAAAAGCCCTCAGCAGAGCAGATGCAACTGTGTTTTCATTCCAGACCGTTATCTAGGGCTTTAGTGAGGCTCACATGAATTCAGTCTTTGTTTTTTTGCCCACTAAAAGAAGGAAGAGCTGAGAGTATGGCCATAACCTGTTTAAACTGATATGCTCTACTTAATGAACCATATATATGTTAATTGATGTTTCTGAATGCATTTAAGTGCAGTAAACTGGTGAAATCTGCTAAGGACTGCATAGACAGGTCTACTTCATTTGGAGCCAGTGTTTTGACTGAGGAGTTTAAAGAGCTGAGCAATGTCCTTCAAGAAGTTATTGTCCCATTCACTTTATCGTATCACCATGTTTCCTTCTGTTTATGGCATTACACTTTGAAGTGTTTTGATAGAATATCTTAGTACAGCAAATACTGAAAGGTGAAAATAGTGACTTTCTTTTTCTTTTTTTTTTTTCCTGAGCAAGAGAAGGGGTGAACCCCAGACAGCTGGGTATTACCATTATGCAGTTAGCAAAATTAGACCAAAACATCATGCCTCAAATTTTTAGGAATTAAAATCTAAAACTGATGGTGGAGGACAGCATTCAGCTGTACGAACTTCCTTGGAATGCTTGCATTCCCAGGGAGTGAAGAAATGTCTAATCTTGACATTAGCTTCCAAACTTAAGAAAACTCAAACTAACAAACAAAGAAACCCACCTCACTGCTTTTCTTGTCAACTGCAAATATACATTAAACAGCCCTTAAAGTGAAAATTTTGTAATTGGAAGAGAAGCATATACTTGAAATACTCAATAACTGCTTTTACCACTTCATCTTCTTTTAACAAGAGCTAGTAGCACATCTTTGAGGTTATCTGTAGTATGGGTGTAGGTAAGTAAATAACACCTCAAGGAAAACTTGTGTTTGATTTCAGAGGGTCGGAGTGTTTGACATAGACACACAGTCTGATGTACACATTCTTTTGCGACCACTGCTTCAGGAAAAAAGCAAAAATAAAGGGAAGGAAATAAAATCAGTTGATTAATATTTTTTTAAAGTAAGAAGAACTGAATGAATGCTTTTTTTATTTTTTGAATTCATGGGGTTTTTTTTTTTAGCTGAATGTGCTTCATAGTACTCACCTTTGTGATCTGAGAGGTAATTAGAAGATTTGTAATATCCCACTGGTTTGATCACAACTCATGCTCATTACATTTTATAATGAGTATATAGCTTATAAATAACATTTTGAAGGTATAAGGTTATACAGAGATAATTACACAGCTGAAATGCATTGGCACAAGGCCAAAGGCTAAGCACTTTCTACCATCTCTCCTAAATTGAATAACTTCACTTTGTGAAGTGTATCATCAGAAATTGTTTTCATTAGTCCCAGAGGGCAAATTAAGGTTAATAAAAATCCAATTCCAGATTACCCATATATGTGAATATTTGTATTTGTAGAACCTTTCTTTGTCAATTACATTCCTCCCTGACTGTGTATATGTGAATACAAATACGTAGGTCAAAGCTTCAGCTCACATTTCTGCAATTTTGAACTGTTTTACTGTTCTCTGAGACAGACCTCCTCTAAACTTGATTGTGAGACCCTGCAAGATTTTTCAAACTGAGCAAAACTAAGCGCACTCCTTCTGCTAAGCTGTGGTTTCTCAAATGCCCTGAGTCCCACTGTCCTGAGTTTCACTTGACCCGCACAGCATTCATTCAACCCATCTGCTTTGGTCCTCAAACCCAGTATTTGTATATTCTCTTCTTTAAATGTTGTGTTAAATAGCATATTCTTACTTCATACAAAGTATTTTGTGAATTCTTTAGCAATCTGAGAAACCCTTTAGTAGAGGTGAATTGGGGGGTAGGCTTTTCCATTTCCCTGTGATAAATCAGATACATATGTAATCTGAATTAGCACATACATATTGGAGTCACCTCTTTTCATACTCTGCTTTTACTAAATTATAGTCTTGTTACAAGTGTCTTCACTCTGCTATTGCATGCCCTCCACTTCTTTCCACTTTCCAAAAAAGAGGTCACCTTCTCACTTGATAAGACAACTGTTTTTGGCTCTTAGCATAGGAAAGAACATTGCATATGAAGACTAATACATAAGAAATGGCTGAGTGTACAGAAATATTTACCAACTATAATCTTTCAGCCTCTAACACTGTGTGTTTGAGGGACTTCATTTTTCAGAGATGGTGTCTTTATCACTTGGTGGATATTTTTGGTCTATGAATTTATATAATCCCATAGCACAAAGAATAGCTTTGGGCAGAATTATCCTATTGGTAACATTTTGGTATATTTTTTAAAAGAAAGGTGTTTTTTCCACCTCAAAATTAAATTAAGAGATTAGTAAATTGCTTTTGTTGATCTTAACATTAAATGAAAAAGTCTTTCACCAATTAGTTAATATACTCACTCTATTACAGTGCCATTATTGAAGAACAAAGCATTACGAAAAACAAAGAGAATTAATAATTGGGAATGCTTGGTGGAAAACTATATAAAGTTGCCTTTTACAAATCTATGCAACCTGTTAGGCAATTGTTGTTTGGGGGTTTTTTTATCTGGTGGATGAAACTATGTCTGAACAACTTTTTTCTACAGGTTATTGACATGCCAGAACACAATCCTGGAGATATGGGGGGAACGATGAGACTGGGGAAGAGGAGGACTGTTTTCAAAACAGAAAATTCTGTTTTAAGTAAGTAATTTTTCTGCTGTTATGACTTGCCCTTTGAATTGGAGCTCTGTAACATGGAAAGCAAAAGTGTCAAAGCACATTTTTTTAAAGGACTATAAGCTCAAGCAAGCTGTTGGGTGACAACTTCCCTGAGCTCATTCATTCTGATCCTGTTCCCATATACATTTACTGAGGACTGGAATGTAAAAAAGAAATGGGAGACATCTGTAATTCCCAGTGAAGCTGTCAGTTAGAGTCCGGTGCTTTAAATAAACAATGAGGACAATGTTGAGATAACTGAAATACATTTCATGGTAGTGTAATTCATTATTTTTTTGGGAAAATCAGAGTGCTTTCTTCCTATTTTCTTTATGAGCTGATAAGATGTGTGAGCTGGGGCTTCTTATCCTACCCCTGAAGCTTTTTGGTAGAACTAACCCAAACTCTTGCCCCTTACCCTCTTCCCAGACCTAAATGTCACTTCCCTAGAGTTGCCAGTGCACCTCAGCCTTAAATGTCTTATGGCCTTGCTGCCTTAGTCCTTACCTTGTCTTGACAACGTTCTCTAGTAGCCAGGCCCTCCTTAACACCAGTCTCTGACCCAGCACTGCCCTAGGCCTAGCCCAGCCCTGGAAACAGTCTAATTTTGGAAAATTGAAGTAATACTTGTCTCATATTAATCAACCCATTATACAGGACTAATATAAATGATACTGTAAATGTGAAAAAAGTAGTTTCTTGTTCATTGATTACGTTATGACCATATTTCTTATATTGCCCTGCGCCTGACATTGATCTGAGCTATTACTATATTTAGTTATGTTGAACTTATGGAATGCATCCTTCTGAACTTTTTTAAAATGACACCTACTTCAGCAGGAGACCAAAGTGTAATACATGTGTGCATTTTATGAAAAATCTGCCTTTCTAGAGAATGCTCATGCTGGTGTTCTCGCTGACTTGGGTGATACTTTGCCTAGGTGTGATATAGATATGCAGAAGTTGTTCTACGGCCCAAACACTTAGAAAAGTTAATAAAAATTAACAAATGTTGTAACTCTTGACCAGTATTATGAACTGTTTAGATGACAATATTTATCAAAGAACCATAAAAAACTCTGGTATTTTACTCAGGAAACCTGATTTGACTTTCTAATGCTTTACAACTTGAATGAAAGTAATGGTTTTTAAGAGATGGTTCTTTAAAATTAATGTATGCACCACTTCTTATAAAATTACAATACTATCATTCTACAGTTTTTGGAAATGTTCTTGGCAGTCTAGTTCTTGTACCAACCCCTCAGCAAGGTAGTAATTCTGATGACCTTGGGGTAAATTGAGAGCAAAGTCTCAGCCTTGATTGTAAGTGAGAGATATGATTATAATCTGGTTTACTGCATACTTCTAACTTATTCCTTATTGCTGTGAAATCTGGAGTGTTCCAGATTACACAGAGGACTGCAAGAGTCATTTGGGTAATGAGATCAGGAAAACAGAAAAAAGCAATATTCTCTGTTTGTTCTTTGGAGGTATTACGCCAGCTGCCATGCATAATCTATTAAAATGGAACAGATGCTACTAAAAGCTTTCCTTCCCTGCACGTTTTCTGTACCACTGTTGTAAAACCCTGAGGGGATTTTATATTGCTTTTTCGCTCAAACATTTTTTAATTTTATTTTGAGCTTTACAATTTAAATTAGTTTAAGTGTGTCCTTTAGTCTCTAGTCTGCCTAAGGTATTTCTGGTCAATAGAAATAGGAATCCTGAATAAACTCAGGTAATGCTAAATTAAAAGAATCTAGTCATCACTCAGCAAAGACAGAAAGCTGGAGTGAGATGAATAGTTTCTTGTTATGTTTTACATATGACTTTTTTGAGGTTTAAATTACAAGAAATAGTTGTAACAACTATTAAAGCAACACATTAGCATAAATTTATTTTTTGTTGTATATTCAGGGAAGCTTTATGGTGATGAAGCATTTGTAGAGGAGCGACACAGGCATCGATATGAGGTAAGCACTGCTAATGTACTTTATGCTCAAAAGTTAAAACTTGAGCAAACTGTGTTTCTCTTGGTAGGCAGAAAAAAGCTGATGGGAGTTTTCTTACATAAGCATAAGCCAAAATTTAGTAGTGGTCAGATGGTATAATTTAGATTGGAAGGATCCTTTCGAAGTCTTTTGGTCCAGCTCCCTGTTGGAGTTGAGCCAACTTTAAAATTAGATCATGCCACTCAGGATTTTGTTCCATCTTATTTTGAATCTCTTTCACGAGAGAGTTTCTGCAACATCTTTTGACAATTTGTTCCAACGCCCTTGTATCTAACAGGAGAATTCCTTGAGCAGTTTGTCTTTTTAGTCTCAGTTATGTGCTGTGCATCTCTGAGCAGAGTCTGTCCCATTAGATAGTTGAAGTCAGCCATGAGATCCACTCTTGGCTTTCTCTTTCCTAGGCTGAAATCCAGCTCGTCCAGTCTCTCCTCCCATGTTGCACATGGCCCAGCCTCTAACCATTCTGACTGGACTTCCTATGAGCTCTCAATATTTTTTCAATCTCTTTCTTGTATTGAGGAGCCTGAGTGTAGACACAGTATTGCAGAGGTGTTCTTGGAAGTGTTCAACAGAGGGGAATAATGTCAGGTACTGTTTCTGGGTGTGAGAAGATGCAGTGTCTAGCAAAATGGTTTTGGAGAGCTGTATCAGAGATCACCTGGCTTGGTTTCTTGTGAAACACTTGGAAGGTAAAGGCTTGTAATCCTTAAATGCACTAGCCAGTTTGGCTAAAGGCTTAGATTATGTTTAGGTAGTGCGTATTCTTTCATGGTCTAAATGTAGGCAGACTTCAGACATCTACAACTCAGAGGCCAATTCACATCACTTGCTTCCTACCATCCAGTTGTGTATGTCCCTTGTTATGTGTCCGCTCCTCTGTTTGTGAACATGTGGGAAAAGGTGTCCAAATACTTTCAAAATACTGTCATGAGGACACGGAGTGGACTCCTAGAGTTATTTCTGAGGTAGTTCAGAAGGGGCCTCACTCCATCAGTGTCTCAAGAAGGGCCTGAAGTATGGGATGTGTGCATGCTGTAGCTGATTCAGACAATGTTGTTTCCTTAAAACATGGGGGGAGAATGTAATGGTGGTAAATGTGCTCAAAGTTGGAATGTTAACTGAGTGGTTAGAGCATCATCGAGGGCATGAGACAGCTCACTGCAGAGCTCCTCAGTTTGAAGGAGGAGCTGAACCACAGCTTGTGTCATAACCACTGAAATGCAGTGTTCAAAGGGGAGGTTAGTCTCTACACCTAGTCTAGTGGGCCACTGGAAAAAGGAGGAATGCAAGCTGCTCAGAATCAGGAGGACAGCAAGCAGAAGGTACTCTGGCTTTAGTCTTTTGAATGTTGCATAGTAACTTACTGATTAATCTCTTTATTTAATAAGCATGCACACTTTTACAAATTTATACTGGAGAGTTGTTAAAACAAGAAAGCAAGAGTTCCCAGTCCTTTCCCAATTCTTTTCATTCTTGTATGCATGCTAAATTACTATTAACTACTACTGTTTGTTAAATCCAAGAATAACAATTATTATTATTTTCAATATTTCAGGTGAACCCAGAATTGACTCACTGCTTTGAAGAGAAAGGTTTGAAATTTGTTGGCCATGATACGGAGGGGAACAGAATGGAAATTATTGAACTGGAGAGTGAGTGTCTTGTTTGTAGTACTTTTTGCATGTTAAAACTGTATAAACTATAGGTTGTTAAATGACATGTAGACACGGTATTAAGCTGTCATAACAGCCAAGATCATGTTGGGGGATACTGCTGACTCCATCTCTGTATTACAATGGGTGAAAATTAAGAGTGTGTTAGGAAAAGTCTTAACACTTTGTAAGGGTTGTGCATGTATTTGATTACCAGGGACAATCATGCTCCTTTTCCAAAAGGTCATAATTCTAGCTCAGGGGGATTTGGCTGTGTAGAATCATTCAGTGATTTAGGAGGTCAGCTCTCCAACCCTGTGCTTCCTTCCACACAGGGCTACATTCAAATATAGGTCAGGTTGTCAAGAGTTTTATCAGTCAAGTTTGGGGTATCTCCAAGTATACTACTACTCTTTGAATGCAGCAGTCTGGCCATTTTGTGGTCTACCCATAGTCACAACTTCCAACTTGGATGCTAGGAAACCATATCAAAAGCCTTGTTGAAGTCTGAATTAAGGAAGGCTACTGCTTTCCCTGCATCCAAAGACAGACTGTTCTCTTTAGCTTGTGCTAAACTCTCTTCCTGTCCTTCGTGTGTCTGGAAATGCCTTGGAAGAAGATTTGTTTCATAATCTTGACATAAACTGAGGTTAGACTAACTGTTCTGTGGTTCCTTGGATCCTTCTTTTTATCTTGGAGAAGGGCATGGTAACTGCCTTTTTCTAGTCATCAGGGACCTCTTATGATTGCCTTGGCTTTGTAAAGATAAAAACTAACTTCACAATGACATTGCCCTGCTCCCTAAGGACCCTCAAATATTCTTAGTCAGGTCCCAATAACTAATATGTGTTCAGTTTGTTTGAGTATGTGAAATGTGTATACATACAATATAACCAAAGTATAAACCATTACTAGAGTATGTTACCTAGAGAGGCTGTGAAATCTTCATCCTTGCAATTGAGACCTTCAGAGCTTGACTAGACAAACTGTCAGCAACCTGATTTCCCTTTGAACTTGTCCCTGCTTTGATCAGAAGGTAGGAATAGAGGCCTCCCAAGGTGCCTTCCAGTTACTTTGTGTCTCTTCCAGTTACCCGCTGGTTAGAATCATTGAAAAACAGTGTGAAAATTAACTACAAAGCAAGCTCCTTTCTTACATGGAAGTGATTCAGAGAGATGAGTGACACTTTGGAAGTTTAGTAGATTTGGACTACTTTGTTAATTAAGACGATGTCTTTTCTAAAAGATTCTGAAATAAAAAGGACCTACACTGCATATATTTTTTCACTGGTACACAGAGTAGTTTTTCAAAACCATCCTTTTGATTTTGCATGTATATTTGGTTAACTCCTTGCTCTTAAGTCACTGTTGGCTAGATAAGTATCAGGCACCTGAAGATGCAGGCTACTCTACAAGATTTTTTTTCCTTTTCTGTTCTTATGTGACCCCTAATTGCCATTGGTCAAGATAAACTCCATATATAGAAACAAAAATTCATCATAAGAATACGTTATTAGCCTATGGAGTGCTGTTTGTTGCATGATACACCTGAGAATTCATTTTATATACTCCATGGTATGTTGTAATTTTGAACCAGGTTTGATATATAGACACCTACTTGGAATGTCAAGCAGCTGCACCATAGAGAGTAATCTGAGAGCAAAGGATACATGTGAATTCTTAAACTACTAATAGTCATTGGTGTTCTTGGGTTAGTTTGTTCCTGACAGATTGCCTCTCTTACACATGCTGGTGTTGGGAGGCTACTTTGCCCTGCATCAAACAACTTCTACAGAGAACATCATGAAATAAATCAGGCAGAATCTTTAAATTGCGTGTTACTGTGAAAAGAAGAAAAGCAGCAGTAAAACCTGGAATTATTTCATAATGGGCTGCAAGGAGACTCTGTTTACTAAAGAAAAACAGTCATCATAAGGAATAGGGTAGGTTGGAGCAGAAGCACAGAAATAACAGTATACCAGATAGCTTAAGGCAAAGCTTTTAGGTTTTGGAACTATTTAGTGCTTTGTCATTGAAGTTATGATATAAATCTAGGGTCCATTTGCTCTTTAAGATACAACAGCAGAGAGAAGAACAGTATGCTAGACTATATAGTTTTATCTTCCTAGAAGAAAATCCCTGATTTCTTGTTACCACCTACTCTGTGCTGCAGAGAAATTCCTTGAATGTTTGGGATTATTTTGGAAAATGTAGAACCAGAGGAAGTCTGTAACTAGTTTTGTCCAATGTCCTGGCACTAGAAGTGGTTAAAACAATATTCAGAGAAGGAACAGATGCTCAGCATGGAAGATTACAAAAACATTCTTTTTTACAATTTTGAAGAAGAAAGAAGGGAAGCAAAGGCACTAGTAAAAGGGTGCTCCGAGTGAGAAACCAAGAGTTGAAGATTTAAGAGAAGATGAAGCAGCACATTGTTCTGAATATATATGCATAAATATATATTGGAAACCAAACTATGATGAAAATAACATGGTGATTGTAACTTTGTGACTGTTCCTTTGTGTGCCTCGCCCCCTCCCCCCCACACCCTGTTGGTACAGGTTTATTATTCAGCTTTTTTAAATCACAGGATTTTTCCTTAATTTGCCTTACTAACTTTCTGCCTCTGTTGTCAATAGCTTTTTGTGGAAAAAAAGTTAAGTTTCCTACTGCCTTACCCTTAAATTCACATGTAGTGATCTGGCTTCTGAACACCTGTCTGAAATCCTCAATATACTTTTTTTTCTTGAACTTCTTCTGGTATCTTCTTCCTATATAGTGTAATTTTCTTTGACATCTATCTTGTAGATCACCCATATTTTGTGGGGGTTCAGTTCCACCCAGAATTTTCCTCAAGACCTATGAAACCTTCACCTCCATACCTTGGACTGTTGCTAGCAGCAACTGGGACACTCAATGCATACCTTCAGCGTGGATGTAAATTGTCTCCAAGGTAATCTTTCTTTGTTACTTGCCTGCAGTTTGACAGTCACATTTTTGGAGGGACTATCCCATCTTTCAATTCAGAAGTCCGGAAGAGGAAGAAGAGTTCTTCATGTGTTGATTTACTTGTTTCTGTACATGCCTGTCATAAATTCTGGTCTAAAATAACCTGTAGCAGAAAACACAGCTCCTGACTTTCTCCTTTTCAGGAGCTATTAGGGATGAAGCCATAACCCCACATTATAATCAGAAAGAAGTAAAAAACCTTCAGTAAATTCATGTGAAGCTGGTGGCCTCCTGTGCTAACTTCCATTGACAGTAGATTCCTAGGGAAAGAGGTTTGCTAGAGAATCAAGCAATGAAGTGAAATTCTTACCTAGTTGTAGTTGAATGATGATAGCAACAACAAAGAAAACACTAATTTTATTTTGAAGTAGCCAAATAATAAATACTATCTTGCAGAGACAGGCCTGAAACAAAACAGTTGGGGTATCTTTAGACTTATGGAAGAGTTTGAATCTAGATCAAAACTGGATGGTTCAGCTAAACTAAAACTCTTTGTCCTGATTCTCTTGGACACAAAGGTTTTGGTTTATTGAATGTAGCAGTATTTTTTAGCCAGTGTTAACTAATTCTTGTTTATGTCAGTGATATTAATAACAGTTACAATTTCATTGTAATAGGAATAATAAAGCAGTCAGAAGGAAACTTAGGGCACAATAACAAAAATGAAAACAAATCATAAAATGACTGAATAGTAATGCTGAACTGATGCAACTCTGGCATATTGACTTTTCTTCTAAACATGGCACCAAACTTATTAGTTTTGTGAGTTGGGCTGCTTCCCCCTCCCCCAAGTGTTGTGTTCTATTAAAATGAAGTCATTTTATTGAGAAAGAGAAATTTTATTCAGGTTTGAGTAGTAATGGAAAATAGCCAAGCCAGACCAGACCAATCTGGTTTGGTAGCCTACTCCTTTATGGGTATATCAGTTGACTTTATAAATGCATTTCATCTTTGTTCATCCTGCCCAGTTGTGCAATAATGTACATACAAAGAGAATTATTATTTCTGATCTGCAAAGTACAGCTTGACTGAAATATTCGTATTACCTTAGCCTGTCATTGTAATTAGTGGTCATAATGTTAGCTACCTTTTAAAATCTGTGCTGATGCAATACATAGGTCAGATTTTTGTGATGCTTGGCAAGGGGCAGTCTTTGAGCACAGTGATATTCTGTCTTTCCCTCTTTTTGAGTTCTCTGCCTCACTCTTGATCTTGTTTCCAAGGTCCCAATATCTTTTCTTACACTGCTTCATCCCATAAGTAAAACTATTTATCTCTGAGATAAAGAAAAACTACTTTTTTTTTTGTTGAGTGATCTGTACATGTCCTGCTAATTCAAATCCCTTAGCATTATAGCAACTATGCTATCTAAACTTGACTTTAATTTTTGGCAATTACGGAATATGCCACACTTAGACTTGTTTGAATTAATCATTAAAAAATTATACACAGCTCTTTTTCTTCACGTTCATACAATAAACTCCAACCAAACCTTAAACATTTAGCAAAGACATTCATACCCCAACACTTATATATAAAGTTACAGATTTTACCATTTACAGCAATCAAGCAAAACCCCTGTGTCTTGAGAAAGAGCACTGGAATAGAAAAACATTTAGAGGCTAAAAGAGGAGCATTTTGTAGGGAAGAATGTTCAGAAGGGAATTTCAGTGCTAATTACAGCACACCCACTCATATTAAGATGTCCACCTGCTGAGTGGAAAGGATTTCCAAAGTAAACCTTTAAACCCCAGAATGCTGGTGATTTCACTGAGCTGTAAAGCTAAGGCAGGTCATAGCAAGACTGAAACAAATCTGAGGAGAGGCTGTTCTGCACAACTCATCTAGCACTGTCTGCATGGGCTGTAGTCATGCTGTGGACTAGAGCAAAGATGTAACCTGAAAGAGAATTTGTGGAGATTAGCAAGTTGAACAGATTGCCTAAACCAGGCTATTATAAACACTAAAAGGAGAGGTAATGATGAAGTCCTGAGACAAAAGGAAATATGTATTTCAGCATGAGAGTCTTCACAGGAAACCATTACCCCAAAACATTTAACAGCCCCATAATTAGGGTGCAGTTTTAGAACATCTGACACCTGGACAGAAGCCCTAGCTTCTAAGCAAAGCTAGTAGTAAATTTAAAGATGCATTACAACTCCCAGGAGAGTGCCCTAAATAAATAAAAGTGAATAAACCTTCTCTTAAAATTTTGTGAGGCCTAGTCTGGTAGAGACATAGGCACACATGGGCATGACCATACCTAGTTTGAGACTGGAATGTATCCTCAGGGGTTTTAAACTTAGTTCCCAGAAGCTTTGGTATGTATAGAGACAGTCAAGAACTGAGCAAAGGATCAGAGTAACTCAGTGATGAGCTATTACTTAGTTACCTGAAGTGGTAGTTGGGCACCCAAGTTGCCTTTGTGGTTTCAGCCTCTCATGCTTTATGCCATGAGTGCCCAGTCATCAAACAAAGCCATGCACTTCATTTCCTTGTGAATGGTTTTAAATCATGACCTTTTCCACATCTTTCCATGGAAATACTGAAAGCACCATTTCATATAGAAGTGAGGCACGTGGGAGGCTTCCAGTTTACATGTTTCATTTTCAAGGATAGAGAAAACTAGATCCACATGAGACTCTCAAAGCATACAATACCCACAAATAGACTGCTTTGTAAGAGAAAACAGAAGGGTTTAATAGAAAACCAGTGGATGAAGAGGGGAACTTCACATGTAATGTTGTTGGCTTTTACTGAGTCTTACATAGTTTCATTTGGAAAAAATAATAAAAACTGGCTTATCTTTAGGAACAGCGTAATATGGGTTGCAGAATCACTGATGTACAATAAAGCCATGTTGCTGGTTTGTTTTGGTTTGTTGTTTTTGGGGTTTTTTTCCCCATAGCAAGTTTAGCATCAGCAGGCTTTATTTCTTTGTCCTCAACCTACACCTTTATTAATGGCCTGCAAGAATAAGCCAGAGTGCATTAATTATGTTTGCAAATAATGTCATTTAAATAAGAGCTGAAAGCACTGCTCAGAACAAAGAAATAACATAAAAGTATGTAGGGAATTTAGAAATCTGTGCTGAATATAGTGACATCTTTGGAGGAAGAGGATAAAGAGCTAAAGATAAATAATTTAAACACAAATGTTCCATAGATGGGAGAAAATGTAGGAAGTGAGAGATGTTCCTAGGTGAGAAAGTGTGGGCAGCTATGACTACTGCCAAAAGAAATTTTTGCTGATCATTAGTGAATATACTAATGTGAGGCACCAATCCAGTGCCATCACGGAGTACTCTCTTCATTTTCAGGCAGGTTATTAATAAAAGATGACTTATGAGTTGTGTTCAGAGACAAGGAACAAAAGTGGCCAGAGAAAAGGAGTGGTGCATTAAGAAAACCGCCAGAAACCTCAGAAAATTTGCCCATGTGGAGCTTACTGCAGTAGCATGGTCCAGCTGTCTCCCAGGTCAGCTATGGAGGAAAGTTTGGGTGAGCACCTGTGAACAGAAAAGAACCTGTGTGACATGTTCTGGTGTATGAAAGACAAAAGCAGTATGGGCAGGGCTATCTCTGATGTCCCCTGTACATTGTCCCCAATCAAGAATGCATCTGGCATAGCATCTGCCATTGGCCAAATCCAGGCATATCAGATTAAAGTGAAAGAAATTATGTGATTTGAAGACTGTCAAGAGAGCAGCAAGAGAGGGGCTGCTCCACAAAAGATGACAATCCAGGAGCCGGGGTGGCAGCTGTCCTGGTAGGGAGAGGACTGGCAGGAGTCAGTACTGCAGTCTCCAAAGAAGGCAAGGGGTCTGGCTCCAGTGACAGTCACCAATGGGGAAGGCCCCAGGTGAGGATGGTCCAGGCAGCAAAGACCTCTTGTTACCCTCAGTGCTCTTACAGAAAACTATGGAAGAGTTTTAAAGGAAATCTTCTCTTAACCATAGTGGCACTTACTAATGGTTAGTTAAGTCAGTTACTTTGTCATTTAAGTGTTAGGTGTTTACAGTGAAGACCCTTCTGAGCTAGTCACCTCAAGTCTTTTTCTGTAGTCATTAAATGAAAATGCACTTCAAGGAGCCAAATAGCTCATTATTATTGTTATGTGGGTCACATACACATTATGTGCTGCAAGTGCCTATTTCTCTCCAGTGATTGTTAAGAAGCTGGTGGTAAGTATCTCAGATGAAGATGTTATCCTAGGTCCAGTTATGTGAGTGCAGGTGTCTGGCAGATTGGGACTGGGGACTCAGGTATGTCCTGAGGGATTCCTTAATGAAATGATGTTTTGTTGAAGCATAGGATTGTATAATGATGATCATAATAATAAATGTTATATAATTTTTTTGACCATATAATGATCATAGAAATGTGCACTGCATATGGGTGACTGCAGTTATAACCATTGCACAGTCAAATATGCATTTATTCTAAGTAATGTTTTAATGACTATAATATCTTTAATAATTCAGCTTTTTGGGGAGGAAATAAATGATAATAATTAACAGATTTCCTTTTGCTGTGTTCTTGAAAGCTAAACAATTGTTTGTTTTAAACAACCACAGCCTGTACTAAATCTAATTACATTTATCTTTAATTTGCACTGAGAAAGAAATGCATTTAGCTTGGCTCCTGCCTTTGCAGGGCATAACATTACTGTAACAATTGTTTAAATTGCTTACCTTTCTGGAAAATGAATTTTTTGTCAATTTTACATTAAAAAAAAGAAAAAAAAGATCCTCTGAAACTGTCAAATACTTTGTTTCTAAAGAATGTGGATTTTCCAAGGGAAACAAGTAGAATGTTTGAGGAGTCCCCATTTTACAGTTGCCTGTGTTTCTTAATAAGAACACTGAAAGCAGGCAGTGTGGTGCTTTTGAGCAGCTGTTTGGAACATACAGGTTTAAAATTGATCTTGAGTCTTAATTCAAGTGATTTGGCAGCTGAGGTAATGCATTCCAGCTACATGTCATATGGCCCCAGCAGTCAGCTGCCTTCTATACCATACCAATAGGGAATCTTCTCATCTTGCTTCCTTCCATGCTTTAGACTGATGAATAGCAGGGAGATGATGATACTTCTCTCAGTAGAAAAGCAAGATCTGCAAGGGGAATTAATTTGATAATAATGCACAAGCAGGGGAAAGCTCTTTTTATTGTTTACGTCTTGAGAAGACAGAGATCTGAGGATGAGTGAACTTCAAAACAAAACCCTGTAAGGTAATTTCTCAACAAAGGATGTTTTCTTTGCTCAGGTCCGGAAATACGTTGCAGTTCACTGCAAAGTGAAATGCCAGCTAGGTTCTAAGAAGTGTTCTGTGTTAACTTAAGGAGTTTCACATTAGTTAACAGCAAAGGGAAATACCAGCTAGGTACTGGTTAATATTTCACTGTGCAGTGAATGTATTTCCATTAACTACAGCTAGATTAGATTAGATGTAAGAATCAAAGTGACCAAAATTTTTCATCTTAAAGACTAAAGTGACTGACTGACTAGGTGCAGTGACACTACACACTCTTTGAGTTTTGTTTTTTTTTTTTCCTTGGCCACTTCTTTATACTGCAAATCTCACAAAAAAAAAAAGGAATACAGCTGCTGGGGTTAGATCTTATATCTAGTGGTCTTAGATCTTCTCAGTAGCTGCTTTTTGTTGGACTCCACTGTTATAAGAATTGTTACAAACAAGATGAAGGGGGTGTCAGGTTACTGCCCAAGGTAATTACTAATTAGTTCTGCAAACTGGGAGCAGGCTTGAGAAGTTGGGGAAATGATGGAAGCATCTGGTGCTGTGTGACTGCTTCTATGGGCATATGCCTCTAAAACCTGTGACCTTGGGTGGCAGAGGACCTAGGAGGAGAGTGCTGGCTGGGAATCAGCACCTACCTGCCTTCAAGTGATGAAGCTGGGCAGTTCTCCACTCACTTCACTCACTCCCTGAGCATTTTTCCTTAAGCATCTGACTCCTATACTGTGTTGTATACAGAGCTCTGGCATGTTTTAGAGCTGTGACTGTCACTGGGCAGCAGAGCTGATTTAAAAAAAATTCTCTGAAGACTTCAGTCTTAAATCAGGGCAATCATAAGATTACACAACTCTCTACAATCACAGTTTTACTCTGTTCTGTGGATGGTATTTGCTGTTTTGCTGTGATGTGAAAATACGGAACTGTTTAATAATACTGAATTTTTGTTCCATGTTTCCATGGGTACTTTCAGAAAAAAGTAAGTACAGCGTCGGTGATGTTGTGTTTGTCTGTGTGCATCTGGCATGCTTGATCATACTGTTAACAACACTTTCCTCACTTGAACTGTGTAATTGATTGCCAGCTGGTGAAATGATCAAATTGAGCATTTCATGCTAGGCTGATATGACACGCTCTTTGTAAGAACCACATCAGCAGCATGTGTGTCATGCAAAGAAAGGGCAAAATGCTGTAGGCAAAATCTTAATGTTAGGACAGCCAAAATAGATATGCTGTCTTATACAAAACTTGGTACAGTGACTTGCTGTAACTGTGGGAGGCTTTCTTAACAGTCAGAGATAGAAATTAAATGAGATGATTGCTGGTGCCGCTCTGCCTGTCCCACGCTATTAAAAGGCTGATCTTTTACTTGTTCTTTCTTGGTTTTTCTTTTCACTCAAAGAAGAGACAATGAAATTCAGGCAACAAAGCAGTGCTCAATAACAAGCACTAGTATAGCTGAGTGCAGTTTGTTCACTGTTCCCACATTGCAGTCTTAATCAAAGATCTCTAGCTATGAAGCTACATAGTTCCCCTTGAAACATTACCCAGCAGGCAGTCACTGGAGATCCATGGATAAGGCTGTGTCTAGGTGAGTCATGGGCTGCTTACCTTCTTGGTGTCTCAGAAGGAGATCTGCCCCTTGGTGGGGAGCATGACCTGACTGAGGTCCTGTTGGCTGGAGGATGAAGGTGTATGTGGTAAAAACGAGATGTGACAAGACAGGTGTGCAGAGGCTGGCGTAGAGTTGGTACCCAAAGCTGTGTGAGGTCTGAGATCCCCACCTGTACTGTATTAACCATAACCTATGCTCTGAATTGTCATGGGACTGACCAGAATTACTGTTGCTCAAATGTACTTTTGAGTTCCCTGGGCTCCCTTTGCTGGCTTCTGATCTTGGGGAATTCAAATATATGGAAAGCAGAATGCAGAAATGAAGTATGGTAGGGGTAAGTGCACTTCAAGTTAAGATAAACCTGGAGACCCAACAGACTTCACAGCTGACTGAAAATGTGGTTGGTGGGCACTTATTTCTCTCAGTTGCTGTGATGATTCCTGTTCTTCACTGTTTCCCTGTTCTGGCCACTTATAAAATAATCACTTGCATGGCTGTTTGTTCTGTGAAAACCAATCTGCTTCTCTCAGGAGACAGCAGAAGGGGATAAAACCCTAGGAAAAACTGTCAGGATATTGATTGGTGCAATGAAAATTATTTATGTTCTGACTGGCAGAACAAAAACTGTAATTTAAGTGTTAGTTGAAGAATTCTGAGTAGATAAAGTTATCTTAACTTTTTCTTGGGTCAAAACATTGATTATCGTAAAGGAGAAATTCCTTTTATGCTTACTCTGAATACCTGTTATTCTCCATGTTGTTAATCATGATTGTAGCCACACAGCACTAGCAAACTGTAGAATGAATGTACAGGAGCCAAGCAAAAAGAAATTGAGCATACTGTTTATTAGGTAGAATATTTTTTCTTGTCAGGTCTTAAACTCCAAACTTAAGCCCATTCCTTTAGAGAAAGATGTTCTTAAGTTTTCTGGAAATGGGTTGCATTTGAGGAAAGTGTTGATCATATGCATCATGGGTTGGAGGGTTTGAAATAAAATATTTGGTTTAGATCCTTCTGAATGCTTATTGCTTCTAACAGCGACAGCTACAGTGACCTAAGCGATGACAGTTCTCCAGAAAAAGAGTTTCCTAATCCTGGCACAAGCTGAAACGACTGTATGAGATTACAGAAATGGATGATGCTATTGAGGTAAACTGAATCATTTTGATACTACTTTATGGTACTTATTTCTTCTAGACTTAAAACAGGAGACAAAGTTAACTTAATTCTCCCTTTTGTTTCAAATCCCGTCTGAGAGCTTATGTCTTCTTTCTTGCCTGTAGCACTTGTTTTTCTCTTCTGCTGCTTAACTCTGTAATTGTGATATTAAAGTCTGCTAAGTGTTTTGAGTACATCTTATATGTAGGATGCTATACAAAATCAAGTTGTGTTACCGTTTGAAGATATATTGAAAATACATTTTTAAATTATGTCTTATTTTTTTGTTACTTCAGTTTTCAAGTTGGAATCACTTAAATTATGTCTTATTTTTTTTGTTACTTCAATTTGCAAGTTGGAATCACTTTGAGTATACTACATAGACATGGCTTTTTATTTTGCATTAATATTCACCTTTATTTGCATTTGATGCATTGATACCACAAAGACATCCCAACATAAGTACTTGGATTTAATCTGCAGAGTGATAGAGATACAAACAAATTTTATAAAATCATAGCTTTGTTTGCCATAGGCTTTGCCAGACTGGTGTTGGATCATTTATTTATTAACCTGTAAACATGGTAGTCATAAATTTAATTTCAGTATGACACACCTGATCTCTGCAGGATCTGGGTTTGAAACTTAGCCTTACTCTATTTTCACTGTGCAGATTCATGAGAGTTGTGGCTGGTATGGCACTCTGATTCGTGTTTTTCTGAGCACTTCTGTAAGCACGACACAACTTTCCCCTCTGATTTTATTCCTCTCACGTGGTGTAGTCATTAAACAGCTGTGCCAAACAGACAATTAAGGCTACACATGAATGATGCATTTCTGCCTGATGATCTCCTGATTGAAGTACAGGCATGAGATGCTAGAAATTGGAGTTCAGTCCTTGGCTGCAGCCTGAGTTTCTTCTGGGATTTTCAGTTTATTTCTTTTTCCATCTCATGTACCACATGTTAAAAATAATAATCCATCCCAAAATCATGAGAACAGAGAACAGAATGTTAAATGATTTCATGACCTGGTACATATCGATACAGTACTGATGCATGTTGTAAAATGACCAAAAAATAAGTAAGCAAAATGTTCCTTTTCACTCTTGCCTGGATCCTTCCCACCTCCAAACGTCACAATGGTTATGTTTCTTGAGACCAGCACAAAGTATGGGACAGCCCCTTTAGCTTTGTCCTTACTTTGCTTTATGAATGGTAGTTCTCTGTTTACTGTTGCAGCTCTGGCTTGTTCAGTGTGTGGATGAATGTACTTTTGTGATGCTTTTAAGGGGTTATCAGTAGTCAGGTTGATTTTGTTTGAACGTGTCACTGGTGGATACCAGTTGTATTCAACAAAATTACTCTAGAAAGTACTAAAAAACTAAATCTGGATATAAAAGAAGGATGGAAGCATTGGTTCATTTATTTTTATCTTGTAGTTAATTCTACCCATTAATCAGAGCTGGGTACACATGTAGACTATATTTAGCTTTGTGGGTTTGTTTTGTGCTGTTTGAAGCAGATGAAATGAATCTACTTTAGTATTTACCATAGGACTACTTTGGAGTCAGTCAGCAGATTTGAGTGAAAATTACATAAGCATGAAATAAACTGAGTTAGAGAGAAAATGTTTTTAATCATTGATTTTTTTACATTTATTTTTTCTTCCCCTCCATCTTTTTATGTTACAGAAACTTGGGAACAAAACAATATTGAAGAAAGTAGAAGACTAAGCTGCTTTCAGTTCTCATACTGTCTCCTCCTCTATGGCTTTCAGTAATTCTCATTACAGGTGACAGTTTAACTGTCCTGTAGCAAAAACAGTTCTGTGTAAATGCTGTTTCTCTTTAAAAGTTACAAAACAGGTGTGCACCTTAGCTGTTAATCATTATTGATCTTGTTCTCTATTTCAGAGTGATCTTAGGTGAATATGTATTAATTCACTAGTTCACAGCTGTTCTTGATTTGAAGAAAGATTTGACTGGTTTCAATTTGCCTTACAACAGGAAGACAAAACGCATTAGTTCTTGGGAGTGAGAGGGAATGCAGTAAAACATTTAAGGGAAAATTGTCTTATTCTTGAGCAGTAGAAAACTGTTTCAGATTTGTTTCCCTGTTAAGCTTGTATATATTTTTTTTTTAACTTTTTTTGCTGTTCAATATGTACAAATGAAAAATTGTTGCTATATTTCAGTTCTTTGTGATTGTAATAATTAATGTTGGATACACATTTTTTCACTTTGCTCTTATAAGTGATTTGATTCCACATAAGTTCATTTGCTCTATTTCTCCTGGAAGTCTGGTAATACTGACCTACAAAATTACAGAAGTGATATTAGAAGCTGGTTTTGTATTTATATTTTGTAAGAGAGAAAGTAAATGCAATCATATTGAACACTTGTGTGAAAGTTGTAGAAGAACCAGTCACAAACCTGGAGTGTTTTCTAGGATGTTTTTCTGCATCCAGTGACCACTCCATTGTCACAGCACTTAATCCCCAGTAGAATACAATGATGTGTTTCAATTTAAAAATCACAAGTTCTTCCACTGCATGCAAGCAACTGCAAGCAGCCCTCCAAAGCCAGGACTGGAGCCTGAATCACTGAGACAGGAGAGGAAGGTGAGAGGTGCTGTACTGGATGTAAGGCTGGATCCCATTAGCAGTGGGGCATCATCAAACCTGTCACAGAAGCTGGACCTGAGCTATGTAACTGATGGGCTCCAGATGCCTGAAACACACTTTCCTATAAAGAAAAATTCGGAATTCTGAGTGTCGTGTTTCATTTTGGTTTTGGGCAAAATGACTTTTTAAAAATTCATCAAAAATTAAATATCTGCACAAAATTAAAAGGCACCATGTCCCTTATTACAGCTTTGTAAAACATCAAGTTTGAAGCTTTGCATTGCTCTAGGAAATCTCAGGTTACACAGCCAGTTTATCTGTTTAGTAAAAGAAGCTTTAATGATAGTGAAATATAAAATGTATTCCTATGGCATTACTTTTCTAAAGCAGTTTGCAAATGTGTGCCTTAGAAATAGTTATTGACAGAATTGATGTCACTGTGTGTCTTCCCCACTGAGAGGCACTGGCCACTGGTTTGTGAAAAGTGAAGAATTTCCTAAGATTGTCTATAATGTGCAAATGTATTTTCAAAATATTTTCAATAAATGGTATTATTCAGAAGTGTTTGGATACCTAGTAAAGAATCATTGTGCCAGTTGTGAACTGCGGTGTCAAGGAGGGAATTGTTCATTTAGTTATGTCCCAGTTGTATCGTCTGTGAGAAACTGTCTTTTATCAGAAAAAAAGAGTATCTCCTTTGAGCCTGTAGATTTTACTAGCCTAAAGATAGCTAGTACTAGCTAAACTACTCCCTTTGGGAAAACCTCACTGTAGATCAGTTGGGTGTGTTGGAGGATGACATTTAAAATCTGTGCCTGCCTTACCCAGAAAGTGGTCCTGTGCTGATTCACCAGCTACATTCATATTTTCCCTCACAGCAAGTTTGGTAGCTTGGTTGAGTTGGACCAGAAGCTCTGCTTGTTTTTAAACAAGGGGAGCAGTATCTGAGTTTGGATGTGACTGCGCAGTAGGTATTGCACTAACTGATATTGTGGAGAGCCATATCTTACTGAGTATTTCTGGTAAAGTACTGCATCTCAGCAGCACAGGTACCTGTTTCACTGTAAGCTTTACAAGTGAGGTCCTTCAGCACCTGCCTTAACATATTTTAACATGTACTCGAAACCTCGAAGCTGAGGTTTCTTTTGCTTATTTAGCAGTTCAGAGAGATAACCTTCATGTGCTAGTGTAATGCCTGCAGAAGTTGAATCTAATGGATCTAACTGATACATATATCCAAGTTTTCCTGAGACACTGAGGAGGATTTGCTCAGCCAAACAGACTATTCCTCATGAGGGAGTACTTGTGGAAGGGTGGGCCAGATCCTGCATTAGCTTACTGTTTTTCTGAAGCCACTAAAGTGTTGTCATATTAATATCCCACAAAAATGGGACTTTGTTGATTTAGAATGGTACAGAAGAGGGCTTACTGCCACCTAGGATTCATGGGACTCAGGCATACTTCTGAATTCCTCTGCAGACATCTAAGCCCTAGTTTGCCAGGAGAAAACTAGAAGTTTTGAGCAATAGCTTAAAAGTAGAGGTTGAGTTCTCTGCAAGATTCTGTGTAAGCAGGAATTGTAGCCCCAAGCTAAAGGAAGTTTTCAGGAAAGAAAAGGCAGATTGACAACAATCACAAGGGCAGGGGCTTGCTGCCCAGAAGGATATGGAGGAGGTTAAGGGAGGGTCAAGTATAAGAGTGTGATTTTCTGGTCTGAGCTAACCTCCTCACCGGAGCTATGTTACTGCTACCACAGCAAGTGAAAGGTTCTCCCTAAACTCTGTGTGTATCAGTGACAGTAGGAAGTGTGATTACAGCATACAGGACTTCTGAGCCAGGTTGGCTACAGCTAGCAGCAAAGCCAGATCGGCATGGAAGTGAACAGGAGCTGTGGAAACCTATGTGGGACTGGCCGAAGCTCATTTCCTGCAGCTTCACTGCTTGTGTATGTGACATGACTAAATCTGCTGAGAAAGGGATTAGGGTGGAGCAAGGAGGTGATCAGACTAATGTTTCTCTTGGGAGAGCACGTGGCCTCCTCCAGCATCCTGCGGAAACTCACGCACTGCAACATGACAGGGGAAGTAAACATGTTATAATTGTTTCTGTACCTAGGACTAAATAACACCTCATCCTTGCATGCAAGAAAGAGAAGGCTTCTTCACTGGGAAATGGACGTGAAAGTTGTGGTATATTTCTGTGCTTCAGCATTTTAGCCCACATGGTGCTTAGCTTTTCCCTGCTAGCATAGTGAATCAGTGACTGTTAGCTCTGTGATAACTTCCAGGCAAACTCTTCCCCTTACCACTTCACCCTGTCCCCACTGTTGACATGGTCAGCACTTCGTTCAAGCATATCACACATTTTCCCAGTTAGCAGCCTTTATATTTTTGATGGTTATGAACTTAGTATCTCGGATATTTCTCAATTAGTCAGGTTCGCAGTACTGTCTACGTTTTTCAGGTGTTCAGCTGTACCTGAATTGGTAACTACCATGTGATAACAGGATGAAATGAAGTAAGGACTCATCTAAAATAATAATATGAAAAGGATCTACATATGTTCTACTGTATAGGAAGTTCATATTTGTGTAATTCCCCTAAAATGACTCACAATATTTACATAAGCATCTATTATATGTCCAAAGAAAATGTCTGTGTTGCCTCAACTGGAAATTCACTCTGAGTAGCAATTCCAGAAATGTTGATTTTGCAATCTTTGGCTGATTCTCTTGATTTTATCTGTAAGCTTTTTTTTTAACACTTTTTTTATAAAATGTGAATTAACTTTTCATGGATCACAGAAGTAGACTGGTTCTGTTGGTCTTTATTCCTATACAAGTGAGTCATCTTCAGTTCTATCTGATTCCTTTCTCCTTAAAATATACCTCATGGATTGTAGGATTTAACATCCTGCTCTGACCTAGCTGACCTGCTGCTAGAGTAATGTCTATTAAACTGTCTTTCATCTTGTAAAAACTGTGTACTTTAATCTTTACGCTTTGATGGTTTGTTTGTACATGGAATATTTTCTCTGCTTGTAGCATCCTACTTCATGTGAGGAAATTGGTTGTCTTACTGGACTTCTGGTAACATGCTCTCACAGATTTGGATCAGAGCCTAGAAAACCAGCTTTGCCTGAAGTGTGGACATTCTGTGTTTCAGAAATGCTCTTGGGAAGGCAAATCTGTCTTTTCTACCTCTGTGGGCTCTCTGTTAATAATTTAAGAGACTTAAAAGTTGGAAGCTGCTAGTGAAGTTAACAGTAGCCTAGTTTGGATAGCCTAAGAATTGACCCAAGTCTTTGAATAAAGCATAGTCCAAAACTCCATATATTTAAAGGAATATTTAGGACAGTCTGCTCTAAGCTTCCACATGACATAAGCTCACCCAGTAACAGCTTCAATAACCCATGATTTCACAGAGTCAATCTGAGAAATAAAAATATTACCTCAGTTGTCTTTTAGCTTGAATATTGCTTTTGCTATATTTAGAACATGCTCCTCATTGTCTTAATAATAGACAACGTAGTTTTGGAGCAAACTCTCTCCATTCACTATGTGTGATTGGTTTCCCACAGCAGCTGTTGTGCACCAGACCTCAGATCCTTTTGGAGGAAATAAAACTGAAGATCCATTCCAAAAGCTGGTGTGATTCAGTTCTGAAACCACCTGGAGAAGCACACTGCTATGGATGCCTCCAACATTGTGTGTTTGCCAGTAGAAAGCTGTCAAACCATCAAGTGTTCTGTGACACCCAAAACCAGTTCCTATTCTGTATGGATATTGTATTCACTGTCCTATCAGCAGTTTTTGTTTTTTTTTATACCGAATGCTTCCTCAAGCTTCAACACAAGACACCATGCTCTGAGTTGCTGGGAACATATTTCCATGTAAGACCAGAAACCAGGCAGCACAGTCCTCGAGTCACCTTGGATGGGCCTGATCTGGGTCCTCTTTGAGCTTGTTAAGTGCTCTACTTGAGTGGTGGGACATTATGCAAAACGCAGCATCACAGATAATCCTTGTTTTAAAACAGGTGGACCATGCTTATATAATCACCTGCGTAGTATCACCTGAGTTAAACACTGATGCCTATATGTGAGCGACTCACCGCAGGCTCCTTTTGTACTCAGCAGAAGGACCAGGTGCTTTTCAATCATCCTTAGTAGATCAGATGAATAATGCTTCTTTCTTGACACGAACCTGAAAGAAGAGCCTGGCCCAAACAGCTCAGATACCAGTGTTTGGTCAGATGATTCTGTTCATCATGTGTAGGTGCTGAAGTGGGGATTAGTCATTACCATCAGCTCATCATTACTAATCAGCTAGATGTAGCTGGCTCCATGTTTTGGGAGGGCTCTGATAAGCAGGCTCACCCCTGGACAGCTGAAGTTTCCCCAGAGTACAACATTCACAGTTCCCTAGGGCCTCAAACCCATCTTCGTGTTAGTTGAAGCCTTAAATTTAGCAAGCTTTTCTTGCCAAAGCCCAGAAGGACCCTGTCCCAGTGTCTCCCCAGCACCTCTGACTGCTGTTAACTGGGACCAGTTCCATGCAGCAGCAGCAGCAGTAGAATCTGCTGTCATGTGGTATCATGGAGTGTGCCTCACTCCCTCTCCTGTGGAATAGTAGTCTGTTTCCCAGAGCACTCCCCCAGGATGTAGGATACATGACCAATTTCCTCCTGAGTTTCAGAGGCAGCCGGGCCCCCTCTCCATCAGGGGCTGCCCACTCTGCAAGGGTAAAGCCAGTTCTCAGTGCCAGTGTTCCTTGCTGTCATAACATTAGGAAAATCTGCAAAAACACCCACTAGTTCTATGTTGGAGAAACAGCAAGGATATGATTCTGTAGGTGAGGCAACAGGAGGTTCCTTGGGAGGGAGGAAGGGAGAGCACTTGAGCCCATGTCTTTAGACTGTATATGAATTTAAGAATAAAAGACAGAAACAGTCATTGCCAAAGAAGCCAGAGCACAGGACTCCCATTTGTTAAGCCAGTGCCATGGCAAATAGGCTTTCTCTTTTTGGCCAAATAAGTCTTGAACCCTCTTCTCTGGGGTGGCACAGACTGAACAGGAAAGAGTGACAGCACCTCACCTCTTTTTTCTCTCCTATGGCTGGAACTTGCTGCATCATTGCTTTGTCCATCCGCTTATTGTCCCTGCTGGCCCATAAGAGCCTGTGCCAGCTTTTTCTTATGCCAGCCTCAGGCAATAGCTTATTATGTTTTCCTGTGCTGGATGTGCTACTCATTCATCTGTCCTACCCAGGATTTTAATTGAGTTTATTCCAAAAAGGGATAGAAAGAAGCTTGTACACATAAAAGAAAAACTGTTCTGAGCATAGTTCCAATGCCTGGAAGATCTTGAACTCTTGTTAACATACCTGCCTAATAATATGCCTTGGTTGAGTCTCAAGGTTTGAGAAGTTGAAAAGGCATACAGAATTTTGAACAGTGAAAACATTAACTTCTAAGGCTTGTGGCTGGCTAATGTACTTTCCCTGTGTTTAGTCTTGGGATCATAATGTGGCATCATTTACAATGCTTGGTCAGTACTAGTT